GGGGGGGGGGCGGTGGGAAAGCGGGGGGTTGGGGGTCGGGGGCCGGGGCCTCCCGCCCGCCCGCCCCGCATCCCCGGGCCCCATCTCCGGGCCCGCCGCCCAGCTCACCTCGTCGTCCAGGAAGTCCAAGTAGTCTCTCTGCGCCTCCCGCAGCTCCACGTCGTCCAGCACCACGGTGCCCGCCATGCCGCCGCCCCAAATCTCCGCCCGCTAAGCCGCGCACACAACTCAGGGAGATTCCGCCCTGGCGCGAAAACCTCACTACTTTTCCCGCCACCGAGGGCTACCTCAAGGAAGAGGCGGGGACGCAGGGAGCAGAACCCAGTTCTGATTGGCTGATTCCTCCAGTGCCGGAAATGCGAGTGCCCAATCGTGAGGTTCTTCTAATTGCGGCCTTCCAACCGGCGCCTGGAGGTGGTGGAGAAGGTGCCATCAGAGATCCTCGATTTCTCCTCCATCACAGACGGGAAGGCTGACCAATGGGGCGGAGGGCAGGCTCAATATGTCTGCTCATTGGGCATCTGGAAGAGCGACTCGGAAGCCCTGCATTCTGGGAGTTGTAGTCCTCTCCCTTTTTCTGGCTGTAGGCAGTGTTTTGTCAGCTGGCAGTTTGGATTTACTACGATGTGCAAGATCGCCCAGCAACCGTTCGATTTTCATAGAAAGCACATTAAACGTTAGAGAATGAGAATTTATAACGCCAAAAAGTTAAAACATAAAACAATTTTTTTAATGTATCCAAATTGCTGCGAACGGCATCTGACGAGAAAATTGGCTTTTGAGACTCTACCGGACGAAAAATAAAATATCATCGTAGGGAAACGTTAGTCGAAGACCCGTTTACTATATGAATACGGTTGTCTGAAGTACACTGTGAAAATACCAGGCCGCAGAGGAACGAGAAGTGAAAGAAAAAATCTTAGGTGTTTATCCCCACCCCCAGAGGCCGCCCGTGTTATTGTACAAAGTCTGGGCTGCTACTGCTCCATCTTGCAAAAATGGGTAAATTAAGAGTGCTGGATCCTCTAGGTAACATTTTAATGAAAGGCTGACGCAGGGGGAAAGAGATGTTTCCTGCTAGTATTAATAATCAACTAGTAATTGCTATGTATAATATATGCAGTCTGAAATTATAATTATTAAAAGGTCAATTGCACATCTAAGGGGTTTTGGTTTTAGTGAGTTGTGATCATCTCTTAATTATATTATTTAGTTTCATGAAGTATAATTTTTTAAAACATTTTATTCTTTTATGTGTATGAGCATATTGCCGGCATGTGTGTAAGTGCACCCGTGTCAAGCAATGCTCATGGAGATCAGAAGAGGGTGTTGGATTCTTCTGGAAGTGGAATTATGGAAGTTTGTTTGCCACCATGTGGGTGCTAGGAATCGAACCTAGGTCCTCGACAAGAGTAGCCAGTGCTCTTAACCTCTGAGCCATCTCTCCAGCCCCAATGAAGTATAATGTATATACAATTAAGAGACACAAGTCTTAGGACTGGAGATGGCTAAGCAGTCAAGAGCACTAACTGGTCTTGCAGAGGACCCGGGTTGGGTACCCAGCACCTAAGTGGTAACTAACAACTGTTAGTAACTCCAGTTCCAAGGGCATTCATTGCACACACATTTGGTGTACTTACATGCAATCAAAACACTCATACAAAAAAATTAATTAAAAAAGGATACGTAAATCTTGTGTACAACTCAGTGAATGTTTACCCATGTAACCAGTCAGTACACAATAAAGAACATAATCATATAATCATTGTCCCCATAGTGTGTGTTTTGTTTTTCTTATTAGCAAATATCAATTTCTCTTTTTTCCTTTTTTTTAGTTTTGTGAGTTGTTTGTTTGTTTGTTTGTTTGTTTTTTGAGACGGGGTCTCTTTGTAGCCCCAGCTGTCTTAGAACTCGCTATGTAGTCCAGGCTGGCCTCTATCTCACAGAGATAAGCCTGCCAAGTGCTGGAACTAAAGTCATGTGCCACCACACCTGGCTCATATATCTAGTTTTGAAAAATAATATGTAGAGCTGAAGGTGTAGCTCAGAGTGCTTGCCTAGCATACAAAAGGCTCTGGATTCAATCTCCAGCATCACAGAAAATCTACCAGGTGGTACACGAGTATTATAATAGTACCTAGGAGGTAGAGGTAGGAGGAATCCTCAGGTATATCATGAGTTCAAAGTCAGCCCGGTGGAGCTTGATATCTTTATCACTTGTTCAAAACACTTTATGAATATATTGGATGCAATACTGATAATATTCTCTGCTCTGGAAACAACTTTAAATTAACCCAGAAAGCACCAGGAAGCTAGGTTCAAATTAGCCAAAAAAAAAAAAAAAAAAAACGCATTTGCAGTAGAAAGTCCAGAAACATAAATTAGAAACCACATCTTTGATACTTAAAAAAAAAAAAAAGATGCACATGTGTGCACATATGTTTGCAGGTAAGTGCTCATGTGTGTACGTATGTGTGTGAAGACCAGAGGTTGACATCTGGTTTCTTCCTCAATAATTTGCCACCTTATTTTGGGGCAGAGGGGACAGGGCCTCTGAACATGTTGCTTGCTGATTGAGCTAGATTGGATGGCCAGCAAACCCCAAGAATCCTCTTGTCTCTACCTCCCCAGGACTGGGATTACAGGTGTGCACCACTGAGCCTGGATTTTTGCATGGATGCTGGGGATTAAGCTCAGGTCTTCATGCTTGTGTAACAAGCACTTTACCCACTTAGCCATCTCATTCAGCCTCCACATCTTTGATTCTAACTAACTTTTTTTTCTTGCCCTCAACTTCATCATATCTAAAACAAGGAAAAAACTATCTTTAATATTCTAAGTGCTGATGACTAGTAGAAATGGCATAAAAATGTATTCCATTTAATGAATTAATTGTGCCATGTGCCTTGATGGAGACTTGATTTGCCCCAATATCATCTGTAACCTTGAAGACACACAAGTATTTAATTGGTATTTCTTCCTGCTTTCATGAGAACATGAGATCGTTAAGTAGGTAAAGTGTGTTGTTTTGGCTGTCTCCCATTCCTCCAAATTCCCAAAAAGAGCAATGACATTGCTCCTAAGAAAAATTAAGCACATTGGATATAGCTCAGCTGGTCGAATTTCTGCTGGCTACCATATACAAAGTCCTAGGTTTGATCCTCAGCACTGCAGAAGGAAAAAAAAGGCGGGGGGAACATTTGTACATACGTGTTTCAAAGTCCAGGGAGCTTTGCCAATGGCCTCCTTATAATCAAAATGAAGACAGGCGTATACGGTAATGAGACAGTTTCTGGAGTCTCCATATTTGCTCACATCCTTGCTTTCTTCTCTGTTTTCTTTCCACCTTAGGCATTGATGGACTCAAGCAAATTACCAAGGCCATGCTAGAAGGATCCCTGGAGAGCAGAGGAGTGTAGAAACGGTAAAAAACAAGACATTGCAAAGTGCTTCCATTTTTCCATGTCCTCAGCACAAAAAAAAAGTACTTCAGGGTAAAATGCAAACCCACAATAAACTAATGCTTTTTAAATGACATGTATCTTTTTGTTCCATAAACAACTTTGTATATTGCGAAACATTTCAAACTGCCTTGTAATCTGTTTTCCGCATTCAGGAAATCCATCATCGGTCCTTTAACACTCTCTCAAAGGCCACATAAGCTTGGAGATCAGACAGTCTGTGCTCAGGATACTAGGGAAGTTTAAGGAATAATCTGCAAGTGTAGGCTTGCCAGTAGGTCTGTTCTCCTCTGTGGTATGAATAAGTCAGGAACTTTGAGTGCCGTAGACCACAAAGACAGTCAAAGTTACTTACTCTTTTTGGCTTCTCTAGTTATTAGCTGTGTGACATAATTTATTTCACCTCTCTGGACCTCAGTCTTCCTCACCTTTCAAATTAGGTTAGACAGAATATCTAGCTCAGAAAAGTGTTTGAGAATTCAATGAAGTAACAACAGATGTAAAAAACAAATTCTGGTTTCCATAGTGTGTTCCAGGCCAGCTGGGGCTGTAGGGAGACCCTGTCTCAAAAAGACCAAAAAAATGTTTTTAAATTTAAAAATAAATAAATAAATAACAAATTTAGAAAAATTCCTGGCATGTAGTAAATAACATTAAATAAATGTTAACTGTGGAGATGGTGGTGGTCGTGGTGGTATAATGGTTAAAGAGGTATTCAAGTAATAAGATAAAGGTGATAAAACCATCCTAAAGAATTCCTAAACAACTCAGACCACCAGATTCAAGCCCCTTCCCACTGCCACCCCAAACTTAAGATAGAACTGATTCCAACACTTCCTTGAGTTAGATTGTCTGCTAGAAATCCTGTTGACGGACGAAGCAGCACACTCACAGACAGGGTACTGTTTGGCTACAGCCATACATGTGTGGGAAACCACCAAACATTTGTTTCATATTTAAGGCATATTGCAAAATGGCCCATGACCCTTCAAATCAGTGTGCCTTCTAAAAGTGCCTGACTGCCCTTATTTGATCTCCCCTATACCAACACCTTCTATTCTTAGAGTCCTTTAGGTTAGCATGGGCCAGACAGTATTGGTGATCCTGATGTTCAAATCAAGTTTGGCAGCACAGTTGACCTACCAATATTTTCTGATTCATTGTCATACGACAAGGTTGATTTCAGCAATCTGATTTCCTAGTCCCCAAGAAGTCATCCTCATACTTAATTGTACAGATCTACACTCTGGATCTATTTGAAGGGCTTTGCTTCAGTGTTTAAAACCATGGATTTATAGAAAGAAATATCAAAAACTGACTGACTTTAAAATGATACATGAAATACTCTAATAAGTTCTTATGTATTTGTTGTGTTAACGTTTTGGGGGGGTACTTTTTGAGAAAGGGCTTCCCTGTAACTACAGCTGGCCTAGAACTTACTAGGTAGATCAGGCTGGCCTCAATCTCATAGAGATTCACCTGCCTCTGCCTCCCGAGTGCTGGGATTAAAGGTGTGTACGATCATGCCCAGCTGACTGGTGTGTTAATTTTTAAAAGACCTAGCCTTCTAATGTAATAAAATGGTGAGGAATACTAGTTATCAGCTATCAAATCTTAACTGAGCATATAACTAATCCTCTGGACCAGAGTCTTTGGATCAGCGTTGCCCAGCAGAAATAGAAGGTGAGACACCTGTTTTATAGTAGTCACATTCTGTAAAGTAAAATGAAGCAGATAAAATAAATACAGTATGATTTATTTAAGCCAACATATCCAAAATACTACCATTTCAGCATGTAATCAATATAAAAATTATTGGAAATATTACTTTTTGGTG